CTGAAAATGTCACTAAGTAATGTAAGGCAAAGTGAATGCAGGGCATTTTTTCATATTGTCAAAAAGCTGGACGGTAACTGACATAGAAATACACCACAGCATTTTTTTTTTTTAAACGATGAATTAAAAATCCTTTTCCACAAGCAACTGCAACTGTAAAAGTAAGGGGAAAATCTTGGAAATTCATTAGTCAATATATGTGGGAATCCTGAATGAATCTTAATGAGCAAGTAGGCCTATAAACTATAACATCAGGAAAAAATGGCCATCGTTTTACACATGCTTTTCTTCTCTCAGGACAGAGGATCACATTGCCTGGAAACGTGGAATCTACAAACTGCTCTAGCGATCCTCAGGACTTTGTGTTTGACCTCTATAAGTGGATACAAAAATGGAAAGGTGGAGAAATCTTGTGAGAGCATGATGCCAGAACATCACAGCCAACCCAACACTACTGCCAGTCCATGCACTCACTGTGAATACCAGTCAGTTCAGCCCAGGGGACAATATAGGAGGTAAGGGGGTAAAACCTATATGAATTAACCAATGATAATCATTTTGGACAGTTTAGATGTCTTGAGTAATGTTGAACAATGATTGCTTCCTTGCCTTTATTTATTACCACTTTCAGTGTCCATAGTCATTCTCTCTGGAAGTGAGCACTTTGAGGGCTGTCTAATTCAGGCCAGAGATGCTACAAACCCTGATGGACCAGCTATTAGCTCTTTCACATTGGTAGATCCTGATATTTCTCAGAGTTTGACATACAACCGCATAGAGGTACATACAGTAAAGGCCACTTTTGGTATAAACTCAATAAACATTACCATTTTAAAATATTAGGGTCAGTAAAAAATACCTTTATTCAACAAGGGCACTAATCAGTAGTGACAGTAAAGACCTTTAAATTGTAATAAAAAATTACATTTTTTAGTAAATGGTGTTCTTTTGAACTTTCTATTCATCAAAATACTGAAGAAAATTGTTTCATGGTTTCTGCAAAAATATCAATTGATAGCATTGATAATAATAATAAATGTTTTGATTGAGCACCAAATCAGCATATTAGAGTGATTTCTTAAGGATCATGTGACTGAAGACTAGAGTAATAACTGCTGAAAATTCAGCTTTGCCATTTCAGAAATAAATTAAGATTGAAGATATATTAAAATAGAAAACAGTTTATTTGAATTGTAATAATATTTCACAATAGTAGCTTTTATTACATAAATGCAGTCTTGGTGAGCATAAGAGACTTTAATATCACATGAGCAAGAGTGCTGTTGTACTAAATATAATTTGGTAATACTGTAGGTGGTCATTGCCATGATGAGTGAGTGAGTGAGTGACGTGACATGTGGCCAAGTATGGTTATTTTTAGTATTGCATCATGTTACAGCCTAATTTTAAGACCCATAAAAAAAGATGTCAGCGTGTCCTCTAAGTTTTATGCAGTCGTAAATGTAATAAGCATGATTCACTTCCCTTGCAGTCTGTGCTGACTGATGTAGGCTGGAGAGTTTCTGATGGGGTCATTCAGTGCAAGTTCTCCAGGTCCATCTACACTCCTCAGGATCCGGTCCGATTCAGCCTTAACAACAGTTACTACCTGTTTGTAACACATGGGAGTGCAGAATATGGAGAGCTTTTTGACTGTATCAATGACTAACAGTTACTTTGAATTAAAACTGTTAACTAAAACTTTTGTTAACCGAAATTCAGCTAAAATAAAATACAAATATTAGATTAAAAACTTAATAGAAATAAATAAACAAATAAATATGACAAAAGCACATAACAACGTGGATACATTTAAATGAAAGCTGAAAATATAAAAAATAATCCTAAATAAAAATAAATACTATAATAGTATATAAGTAATACTAAAGTGACACTCATGACCTTTTACAGAATAGATAAGCTACTATAGATTAAATATTCTGATTTACCTTATGTGTGTAAAATGATAGCGTTTATTTTTTAATTTTTTTACTTCTGCAGCATGATGAAGTAGCAATTGTCTTTCCGGTCATGACATCCTTCAGCATTTTCCAAAAAGGCTGTATTTCTTCTTCTTGGAAAAAGTTTTGGCAAATGATTATGTGTCTCAGATACAGGGTGCCATGTAACTGTTTTTATGGCCTTCCCGCTTCGTGTTTCTCCACAGATCCGGACTTCTGACTTTACTGATTAACAAGTGTCTGTGATGGCCTGAGCAATCAGTACTCGTTTCCTGTCATTTATTTTATGACAGGGTTGCTGAGTGGACAGGGAATAAAATAGTTACAGCTAGTGTTCCTGAAGCTGGAATCAAAATTTTACATAGAAACCAGCACAAATAAATTGTTTAAAACACTTTAACCATGTGATGTGTACTGAACGATAGCACAAGTTTACAGCAATTGTGCGTTTTTTTTAAAATATGCTATCTTAATGGTATGATTGAAATGATGTGTGCCATTAAGTTTTAGTCAGGTTATCTCATAAGTTTTATTGCTGTGTTTTGTTGTGCTGCGTCATTTATTTTATGACAGGGTTGCTGAGTGGACAGGGAATAAAATAGTTACAGCTAGTGTTCCTGAAGCTGGAATCAAAATTTTACATAGAAACCAGCACAAATAAATTGTTTAAAACACTTTAACCATGTGATGTGTACTGAACGATAGCACAAGTTTACAGCAATTGTGCGTTTTTTTTAAATATGCTATCTTAATGATATGATTGAAATGATGTGTGCCATTAAGTTTTAGTCAGGTTATCTCATCAGTTTTATTGCTGTGTTTTGTTGTGCTGCAGGTATGATCCACAGACACACACGGCAGCCACTGATATCCTCCCATCATCAGATCATTACCGGCCCTCCTGAGATACTGACAGCTTCTCGATCTCCACTGCTCATGAAATGTCATGGTATGTGCTCTGCTGTAATTAAGTTTACTGCAGGATACTGAGAATTCCCTGAATGGTTAAATATATGGTCAGGAAATGGAAATGGTTCATGTTCAAACCCTGCAATGGGCAACCCATGAATTACCACAACTGTACCCTTGAAAAGTTATTGTAGTTGCTGTGGATAAAGCATCAGTTAAATGGCAAATCGGTAATTTGATAAACCACTACATGTTATGAAATAATTGGTATAAATTGCAAAATACTGTCATTTGCAAGTTTCCAAATATAATATAAAATATATAATTTAAATGCAGGAACTCTAATGCTGATTGCCTGGATGCTCTTTACTTAATGTCCTAATTAATGATTAAATGAAAAATCGATAATTTTGACCCATACAATGTATTTTTGGCTATTGCTACAAATATACCCCAGCGACTTAAGACTGGTTTTGTGCTCCAGGGTCACATATGTCGTTATAATTGGTTCTACGCAGTTATTTTAGTATTATTTATATACTGTTTTAGTATTTATTTATTCATTCAATATTTTTATTTAATATTTTGAATTAGCCTTCATTTTTCAGTTTTCTTAATTCTTGTTAAATTTTGATTTGACTTTTTTTCATTTTAATTTTAGTAATTTTGTTATGTGGTATTCTCACTTTTATTTATTTATGTATTTTTGTTACAATAGCTTTAGTATATTTTTATTGAAGTTTTAGTTTTAGTCATTTTAGTACTTAAATTATAGTTACTTGCCAAGGCAACATTTTAAATTTTTGTATAATTGATTCTTTATTTCAGCTTTATTTCAATGAGCAAAAATAGTTTTGTAATAGATGTAGTTTTAGATAACAGTACTGTAATGACACTGGTTCTGTGCAGAGAGCTGGTGCTCATCCATACCTTGGCTGCACTGTTATGATTCTCGCCTTCTGTCAGCCAATAATAGCTGCATTCAGACCAGCTCCAGATTCCTCACAGAAATGACTCCTCAATTAACTTGAATTTGCAACTTGGTCATTTTAACCTCTTCTGCTACCATATCCGAAACTGAATAACTTAATGACATAACATAACACAACACAAGACAATCATTTCTTTTTCTCAGGCGATGGATATTCAATTTGTCGCACTGGGGTGTTGGAAATGCTGCTGAAATTATTGCCGGTGAATTTGCTCTTTGTAATTTTGCTGTTTAGAAGGTTTATCTCAAATCAATTTCTAGCAGTAATATCACATTCAAAACCTTTTTTAAAAAATATTTTAAAAAATGACTTTTTTATTATTATTATTTCAGTGGTTTCCATGTTTTTTGGAATAAAGCAACAGTCTCTTTTGCTGCTGTCTTATTCTTCCAACAAAGAAATAAACTCACCTACATATTTTTTTATATATATATATATAAGTCATATATTAATCATATATTAATTAGATTAATCATAAAAGAAATCAGGTATTGCAATATGCACAACAACTCACCATCAAGGCCTACCATAAGGCTCAAAAAGAAGCATGTACATAAGCATCTTAACCAAATGCTCTTATTTCTGCTTCCACAGGATACTAAGTTTAGAGTGGCTTGCTGTTTTTGTGCTCGGAAACTCAGCATTCTGTATCTCACTGCTCGCCTCCATAGGGGATGTATAATGAATCATATGGCAGTACAGGAATTGGAATAAAGACCTAATTATTCATAGAGCAAGACAAGTCATTATCAGTTTCACTTTATTCAAGGTTTGAACAGTATTTTGCATTGAAAACATCCTGCAAGGAAGAAACATGTCTATTAAAACATTTCAAACATGAATATTATGAAGTAAAATTCACACATATTTTAAATTATTTTCACAGAAGAATAAATGCACATTATATCCAGACAATCAAAGCAAAAAATATTTAAAAGGCTCACAATGTAGTTATTGTACAGAAGTCAGCTACCTCTGCAAGCTACATCCACAATATACTCTATTGGACATTCCAAGCAGCGGTCTTCCTTGTCTTAAATCGCACTTTTGATCAGATTAAATCAAAGATAAATGCATTTTATTTGCTGAAAATAAATGTGAAATTAGAATAATAAATTTCTCAATGTTTGGCGTAATTGTTGTACATAGTGCAATTTAGGAATACATTACGGTATAAATTCTTTAACTGCAATAATATAAAAGTATATCCAGGATAAAATTCAGAGTGAAAATACTAGCATCCAAAAGATGTAAAAAGGTATGAGATCAGTTGTTAATATTTTGACTCACCTATTAACTTCCAGGTTTGTACTAGTAATTAATGTTTTACTCTAAAATTATTTGCACATGCTTATACGGTAATGGAACCTTGATTTGTGCTTGATGCTTCGTTTAGGCAAATCACTCAGTCTTGTTGCTGATGATTGGCAAAGATACCTGCTTCCCACCTCTGGGCCAGGGCACTTTTCCGTCTGACTCGAGGGTAAGGTGCCTCAGAGAACTAAAGGAGAAAGCTTCACCTGTAAAACTGCATGCAGTTTCCAGTTTCAAGGTGAAATGGGCACAGATCAATGAGATGTCAAAGACATGTAAATGAAAAACATAAAAATACACCTCAATGGAATTCATGACAGTTATATATGATACATGAGAGGACAAACAGAAAAATATGTACAGTTCAAAAATCTGCAACTTTGAATCATAGCATGCCTAAATATAATGTACCTTGTGGTCGCAGGACATAGTGGAGCGATCCATTTTGCACGTCTTTGATGGAGATGAGGGGGATGACTTAGATTTTGCTGGCACCTCTCCTGTAAAGTGTCCAAATAAGAGAAAGAACATTTACTGAACTACATCTTTATGTAATGACATCAATGAAGTAAATACGCTAATGGTTGCTAAACGTGGTACCTGGTTTCTCATAAGTGAAATTCTGCAGTTGGCTGGGGGACACGAGGACGGTGTCATATCTCTCCTTTACATATAGTTGTGCTCTCTGCCTTCTAAGCTCCTCTTCTCTTTGCCTCACCAACTTGATCTCCTGATGCACCAGAGACTGGGTGCTTTGGGAGCGCAGTTTGAAAAAGGGATTGTTCTGAAAGGTGCTCTCTTGTGTCTCTTGACATACAGTGCTCAGGCAGAATTCTGAGGCACTTCGGATGATGAGATTCGATGTCTCCAGGATAATGACATTATTCATGTCGGATGGCCATACTTGGAAACTGCTCGTCCCTGGAGAAAGCATCCCACCTTTTCTTTGGCTCCGTGGGCTGGTGGGGTACGAATCTGGCTCAAGTATTACGACATTGTTGGCGGTCATTTCATGGTATGTGGGACTTCTTCCAGATGAAGCTGTGATGGACAAAGTTGGAGTTCTTGCACTAGGAAATCTCTGAGAAATGCATCTGTCCTCCGGTGTATCAAACATCTGTCTTTTCTCCCCAGGTTCTGATCTGCTGTGGTGAAGAACGCCAGGCTTGGGTTTAATTTGCATAGTGTCGCCAGCAGACATCTTTGCCATTGTCCTCTCTCGTCTGAAAATCTCCTCTCGTTCGCAACAGGCCGGACATATCCAGAGGTATCATCCAAGGTGAGAGAGCACTTTATGGTTGTGATGCTTTTTTGGCTGTTTTTAGTATTGCATCATGTTACAGCCTAATTTTAAGACCCATAAAAAAAGATGTCAGCGTGTCCTCTAAGTTTTATGCAGTCGTAAATGTAATAAGCATGATTCACTTCCCTTGCAGTCTGTGCTGACTGATGTAGGCTGGAGAGTTTCTGATGGGGTCATTCAGTGCAAGTTCTCCAGGTCCATCTACACTCCTCAGGATCCGGTCCGATTCAGCCTTAACAACAGTTACTACCTGTTTGTAACACATGGGAGTGCAGAATATGGAGAGCTTTTTGACTGTATCAATGACTAACAGTTACTTTGAATTAAAACTGTTAACTAAAACTTTTGTTAACCGAAATTCAGCTAAAATAAAATACAAATATTAGATTAAAAACTTAATAGAAATAAATAAACAAATAAATATGACAAAAGCACATAACAACGTGGATACATTTAAATGAAAGCTGAAAATATAAAAAATAATCCTAAATAAAAATAAATACTATAATAGTATATAAGTAATACTAAAGTGACACTCATGACCTTTTACAGAATAGATAAGCTACTATAGATTAAATATTCTGATTTACCTTATGTGTGTAAAATGATAGCGTTTATTTTTTAATTTTTTTACTTCTGCAGCATGATGAAGTAGCAATTGTCTTTCCGGTCATGACATCCTTCAGCATTTTCCAAAAAGGCTGTATTTCTTCTTCTTGGAAAAAGTTTTGGCAAATGATTATGTGTCTCAGATACAGGGTGCCATGTAACTGTTTTTATGGCCTTCCCGCTTCGTGTTTCTCCACAGATCCGGACTTCTGACTTTACTGATTAACAAGTGTCTGTGATGGCCTGAGCAATCAGTACTCGTTTCCTGTCATTTATTTTATGACAGGGTTGCTGAGTGGACAGGGAATAAAATAGTTACAGCTAGTGTTCCTGAAGCTGGAATCAAAATTTTACATAGAAACCAGCACAAATAAATTGTTTAAAACACTTTAACCATGTGATGTGTACTGAACGATAGCACAAGTTTACAGCAATTGTGCGTTTTTTTTAAATATGCTATCTTAATGATATGATTGAAATGATGTGTGCCATTAAGTTTTAGTCAGGTTATCTCATCAGTTTTATTGCTGTGTTTTGTTGTGCTGCAGGTATGATCCACAGACACACACGGCAGCCACTGATATCCTCCCATCATCAGATCATTACCGGCCCTCCTGAGATACTGACAGCTTCTCGATCTCCACTGCTCATGAAATGTCATGGTATGTGCTCTGCTGTAATTAAGTTTACTGCAGGATACTGAGAATTCCCTGAATGGTTAAATATATGGTCAGGAAATGGAAATGGTTCATGTTCAAACCCTGCAATGGGCAACCCATGAATTACCACAACTGTACCCTTGAAAAGTTATTGTAGTTGCTGTGGATAAAGCATCAGTTAAATGGCAAATCGGTAATTTGATAAACCACTACATGTTATGAAATAATTGGTATAAATTGCAAAATACTGTCATTTGCAAGTTTCCAAATATAATATAAAATATATAATTTAAATGCAGGAACTCTAATGCTGATTGCCTGGATGCTCTTTACTTAATGTCCTAATTAATGATTAAATGAAAAATCGATAATTTTGACCCATACAATGTATTTTTGGCTATTGCTACAAATATACCCCAGCGACTTAAGACTGGTTTTGTGCTCCAGGGTCACATATGTCGTTATAATTGGTTCTACGCAGTTATTTTAGTATTATTTATATACTGTTTTAGTATTTATTTATTCATTCAATATTTTTATTTAATATTTTGAATTAGCCTTCATTTTTCAGTTTTCTTAATTCTTGTTAAATTTTGATTTGACTTTTTTTCATTTTAATTTTAGTAATTTTGTTATGTGGTATTCTCACTTTTATTTATTTATGTATTTTTGTTACAATAGCTTTAGTATATTTTTATTGAAGTTTTAGTTTTAGTCATTTTAGTACTTAAATTATAGTTACTTGCCAAGGCAACATTTTAAATTTTTGTATAATTGATTCTTTATTTCAGCTTTATTTCAATGAGCAAAAATAGTTTTGTAATAGATGTAGTTTTAGATAACAGTACTGTAATGACACTGGTTCTGTGCAGAGAGCTGGTGCTCATCCATACCTTGGCTGCACTGTTATGATTCTCGCCTTCTGTCAGCCAATAATAGCTGCATTCAGACCAGCTCCAGATTCCTCACAGAAATGACTCCTCAATTAACTTGAATTTGCAACTTGGTCATTTTAACCTCTTCTGCTACCATATCCGAAACTGAATAACTTAATGACATAACATAACACAACACAAGACAATCATTTCTTTTTCTCAGGCGATGGATATTCAATTTGTCGCACTGGGGTGTTGGAAATGCTGCTGAAATTATTGCCGGTGAATTTGCTCTTTGTAATTTTGCTGTTTAGAAGGTTTATCTCAAATCAATTTCTAGCAGTAATATCACATTCAAAACCTTTTTTAAAAAATATTTTAAAAAATGACTTTTTTATTATTATTATTTCAGTGGTTTCCATGTTTTTTGGAATAAAGCAACAGTCTCTTTTGCTGCTGTCTTATTCTTCCAACAAAGAAATAAACTCACCTACATATTTTTTTATATATATATAAGTCATATATTAATCATATATTAATTAGATTAATCATAAAAGAAATCAGGTATTGCAATATGCACAACAACTCACCATCAAGGCCTACCATAAGGCTCAAAAAGAAGCATGTACATAAGCATCTTAACCAAATGCTCTTATTTCTGCTTCCACAGGATACTAAGTTTAGAGTGGCTTGCTGTTTTTGTGCTCGGAAACTCAGCATTCTGTATCTCACTGCTCGCCTCCATAGGGGATGTATAATGAATCATATGGCAGTACAGGAATTGGAATAAAGACCTAATTATTCATAGAGCAAGACAAGTCATTATCAGTTTCACTTTATTCAAGGTTTGAACAGTATTTTGCATTGAAAACATCCTGCAAGGAAGAAACATGTCTATTAAAACATTTCAAACATGAATATTATGAAGTAAAATTCACACATATTTTAAATTATTTTCACAGAAGAATAAATGCACATTATATCCAGACAATCAAAGCAAAAAATATTTAAAAGGCTCACAATGTAGTTATTGTACAGAAGTCAGCTACCTCTGCAAGCTACATCCACAATATACTCTATTGGACATTCCAAGCAGCGGTCTTCCTTGTCTTAAATCGCACTTTTGATCAGATTAAATCAAAGATAAATGCATTTTATTTGCTGAAAATAAATGTGAAATTAGAATAATAAATTTCTCAATGTTTGGCGTAATTGTTGTACATAGTGCAATTTAGGAATACATTACGGTATAAATTCTTTAACTGCAATAATATAAAAGTATATCCAGGATAAAATTCAGAGTGAAAATACTAGCATCCAAAAGATGTAAAAAGGTATGAGATCAGTTGTTAATATTTTGACTCACCTATTAACTTCCAGGTTTGTACTAGTAATTAATGTTTTACTCTAAAATTATTTGCACATGCTTATACGGTAATGGAACCTTGATTTGTGCTTGATGCTTCGTTTAGGCAAATCACTCAGTCTTGTTGCTGATGATTGGCAAAGATACCTGCTTCCCACCTCTGGGCCAGGGCACTTTTCCGTCTGACTCGAGGGTAAGGTGCCTCAGAGAACTAAAGGAGAAAGCTTCACCTGTAAAACTGCATGCAGTTTCCAGTTTCAAGGTGAAATGGGCACAGATCAATGAGATGTCAAAGACATGTAAATGAAAAACATAAAAATACACCTCAATGGAATTCATGACAGTTATATATGATACATGAGAGGACAAACAGAAAAATATGCACAGTTCAAAAATCTGCAACTTTGAATCATAGCATGCCTAAATATAATGTACCTTGTGGTCGCAGGACATAGTGGAGCGATCCATTTTGCGTGTCTTTGATGGAGATGAGGGGGATGACTTAGATTTTGCTGGCACCTCTCCTGTAAAGTGTCCAAATAAGAGAAAGAACATTTACTGAACTACATCTTTATGTAATGACATCAATGAAGTAAATACGCTAATGGTTGCTAAACGTGGTACCTGGTTTCTCATAAGTGAAATTCTGCAGTTGGCTGGGGGACACGAGGACGGTGTCATATCTCTCCTTTACATATAGTTGTGCTCTCTGCCTTCTAAGCTCCTCTTCTCTTTGCCTCACCAACTTGATCTCCTGATGCACCAGAGACTGGGTGCTTTGGGAGCGCAGTTTGAAAAAGGGATTGTTCTGAAAGGTGCTCTCTTGTGTCTCTTGACATGCAGAGCTCAGGCAGAATTCCGAGGCACTTCGAATTATGAGATTTGATGTCTCCAGGATAATGACATTATTCATGTCGGATGGCCATACTTGGAAACTGCTCGTCCCTGGAGAAAGCATCCCACCTTTTCTTTGGCTCCGTGGGCTGGTGGGGTACGAATCTGGCTCAAGTATTACGACATTGTTGGCGGTCATTTCATGGTATGTGGGACTTCTTCCAGATGAAGCTGTGATGGACAAAGTTGGAGTTCTTGCACTAGGAGATCTCTGAGAAATGCATCTGTCCTCCGGTGTGTCAAACATCTGTCTTTTCTCCCCAGGTTCTGATCTGCTGTGGTGAAGAACGCCAGGCTTGGGTTTAATTTGCATAGTGTCGCCAGAAGACATCTTTGCCATTGTCCTCTCTCGTCTGAAAATCTCCTCTCGTTCGAGAGCTTCATGAATCTCCCTCTCCACTGGAGTTTCTGGCTCATCATAAGGAGACCTATAGCTTGTGTCATCTAGACCAGAGTCTTCCGAACAGGGGCTGAATTGAGTGTACTGGTAATCACCCAGACCAAGACTCTCTATGTCAGGGTCTCTTCTGGGGTGATCAATGTTGCGGACAGGCGTGTACATGAAGTTGTGTCCACCCTGGCAAGATGCCTGCCTCATCGCCGGCCGGTGCACCAGACCTTTTGTTTGCTCTTCCATCTTCTGCCACTGCTTGCGAGCCACCCTAAAATCCAGATGCTCTGTGCTGACATTCTCGCTCTTTATTTCCTGAACCACGCAGAAGTCTTTTGGCAACTTTTTGTCGAGCTCTGAAGTTGAACAAGACAGGCGCTGAAGGTTGTGCTTTGAAGTTTTACCAAGCTCTTCCTCATCCTCTGCAATCTTGGTTAAACTGCAGTAATGGGCCGAGGAGTCCAAAGAAATATCTCGCAGCTCACATTCAGTGGGACACTCTGGTTGTTCTAGAATCTCACTTTCATTAATGTTGAAAGCCAGAGCTTCATCTTCAAGTTCAGCATTGCTCTCAGTCACTTCATTGTCTTCCTGCCTCTTGTTCTAGAATCTCACTTTCATTAATGTTCAAAGCCAGAGCTTCATCTTCAAGTTCAGCATTGCTCTCAGTCACTTCATTGTCTTCCTGCCTTGCTTGGTCTTCCGAGTTTACCTCTGCTTCATCCATACCCAAGAGATCACCGTTCTCCTCAATCTCTTCTTTATCTACAGCTGATGGAGCTAAAGACCTCCACGGCTCTTCAGCATCACTGTCTGACGAAATGATGGCCATCTCCACTAGCAGACAGTCACTTAGGTCATCTCGATCCATATCTGGACAAGATTCAGTCGGGACTTCAGAAATCACCAACTCATTGATTTGCTGCTCCAGCACAGATTCTTCTTGTGCTTCCAGCCTCTCCTCAGGTTCATCATGTTCTTCCTCTTGGGTATCATCGAAATTGTTGATTTCCATTTCTTCTTCTGGTTTGTCATTCACAAGAGGCTCTTCGTGAGACTCAAAGGCCAAAGATTCTCTGCCATCTGGTTCATCTTGTTCATTGACCTTGACCGTAATGCCTTCTTGAGAGTCTTTGCTTCCATCAGATTCACCTGAGCCATCACATTCATTAATTATGGCTTTGTTTTCTTGCCCATCCAGATCTTCATGGGGGTTGCTCTGTTTGGTATCTAGGCACTCTGGGAAATATGTGACAAAACATTCATTCACCTCCTCAGTGAATGGACATGTCTGGTCCTCTGTACACCCAGGATTCATTTTACAGTCTGTTAGATCAGCCATTTCTGAAAGCTGGTTGGTCTCCATGGTGACTGCTTCAGAGAGGTATTCCTGCTCTTTTTGCTGCTGATTTACAGAGGTGCTTTTGCCTTCATTTAGTTCACTTCCATATGACCTTCGCACACCAGCTGTGACTCTCTATGGAAGTTACATTGAAAAGATCTGTTTAGAATTAAAGGAACACCAAGCTTAGGAATTCTGAGATCATTAAACATGTCAAACACTAACAATTTTTCGCCTAGTCTTGCTCCTTGAAAAGTTCTGGATGCACTTAATATAACAACATTAAGCTAGAAAAACCAGTCTTGTGCTGTTTCTATAGCAGAATTGCACAGCGTCGCTTTTTTAGTTTGATCAAGCTCTTCTTGTATTCATGCTGTGAGATATATGTGGGTGGACCTCTTTGATAGCAAATAACCATGAGAAGTGGTTTCTAACAGAGCAAGCAATCTCAAAGTGGGCTGAAAAAGTCACCAATCTACATTTAAAGGATGTTTTAGTAGCCTCATAGAAGTAAGAGCCACAAAATATGAGACTTCTAAAGAAAACACACAATTCTATTTTAATTTTACCCCTAATTTAGGTCATTTTAAATAAAAGCTATGAAATGAGCTGATGAGTTAATTCAACTGGGTTTAAAAAGGGAGACATACAAAATGTGCAGTGCTCTAGAAACATTCTTAAAACACTGCTCTAAAATACATGAAAAAGGTCTATGGCAAGTTGCAATCACAACTTTCTAAGCTTAAATAAAGTGAAGGGAAGCACTTCTGAGGAAATACACTTCATTCTTGAAAGTACTATCAATCCAAAATCTAATTAGATGACTGCACTGTTACAAGAACTACCTAAAATAATTTTAAATTCCTGTTTCCTCATTTATCAGTTAGCAGTTTGCCATCCCCTTCTCTGCAGTATGTGGATGATCATAATGCCATTTCATATGATACTGTCATAGTCATAATTTATTGGCAAGATACAGTATGATTTCAGAGAGTCTGTTTTGTGTTTTTTTCCCTGAAAAGTAGTGGTTGCTTGGCAACATGCTAGATCTGAGGAGGCTGTCCTGTTTATGAGCCATGCAGAAGCAGCTTACTAGTCAGAGCCAACCTATTCAAAGTGCCATGCCGTAGGTTTATTATGGCTATCAGCCTGAGTTTATCCAGTGAGAGAGAGAGAAACAAATCTATTGCTCATATCGAGCAGATGGGATGTTCTTTTATGCATGCCTGCTGGTGCTGTGACCACCATTAACCCCAGACTCATCCTGCCTGTTTTGGAAAATACATTTCTGATGTCTGAACATTACATCCACTTTGCCAGAGGTGGAATTCTGCAGAGCACAAAATGATGTCATCAGCTATTAAGTGCGACTGTGACTGTTAGGGATAGTTCACCCAAAAATTAAGATGTAAGGACAAGGGATTATGAACTAACAGCCTCAGTCACCACTCACTTTCCATTCATGCAACTTGTTTCCATTCAATGAAAGTGAATGGTGACTAATGTCATTCTGCCTAGCATCTCCTTTTCTTTTTCACAGTCAAACTTCTCTCTTGTAAATGGTAGATAGCCTACTGAAGTGAATTTGATTTGTGAAAAATCTGAGTATATTTTGTATCACTGCAGCACTAACGGCAAGCAGATATGGAATGTATTACCAATCAATCTCGAAATGTCGGATGGAGACAACGCAGCATCTCAACTCTTTTTAAATACACTGGACACTCGGCCAAGCATGACAGTACAAATGCAGCACACTGAATTCCTGCATCATTCCCTCTTCGTGCCTTGCGCATGCAGATGTTCGCCAAAGCAGATACGGATGCAACAGATGCACAAAGCGTCAGTATTTTCATACCTACCAGCAGCTTTAAAAACAGGAGCCAAACGGATATCATCTCCAATCTACCGCAATACGCACATGCATGTATAATTTGTACAGATAACGACAGTAACCAAATGGCGACGCGTCGGGAGTAATTCATATGGTTGAACTCGAAGAAGGAAAAATCAAGCTCGCGACGAACTCCTCCTGTTGAGGCCTATCGATCCGTCAGCGATTGTCAAAAGTGAAACAGAGCAGACAGAACAGATATTGACAGAAACGGCCGCAAGCGAATGTCTGCGCCCCGCCAGCACTGGTTGCACTGAGCTACAGATCCGCTCTGTACCTCTGGGTGCCCACGCTTTCTCAACCAACTATTGAACGCTTGGCTTTGCCTACGCGATTTTGAACATAGGCTACTACAGTCCATAATTCTGACCAAGGTCACTCTCGCTGTGCAACATTATTCTCACATATTTATATATATGCGTGTATGTGTAGAACGAAAAACATTTCCGTTTACATTTATTACTATAATAATATGAATTTATATATTTATTTACCTAATGAAACTATGAGCAATCGGTTGTATAATATTTATAGGCTATATTTATTAAAATAAACACTTTATGACCTTTTGATACAAGACAGAGCTTGCTGCATGTATTAATGCAGCTGAATGTATTAATCCGTATCCTAATTTAAAAATGTAAATAAAGTGTGAATATGCATTTATATGTGCTTTTCCAGAAAATAAAAGAAAAAATCTGTCTGGAGAAATCCGCTTCTGTACTTAAAATCCTCTGATGCTTTATTTTCAACTCTGAATCCTCTGTGCTGCATGACATAGACACATCTCTTACATTTGGTGTTGGAATAATAAAGTTAGATATGATACTGTGGTATGTTGATTGATTAATTGATTTTTTAAATACCCATCTCTGTGGACCAAACTTATCCTCCATTAATAATGACAAGGACTAGACTCTAAGCCAAACCAATCCTCATATCATCATGCTTTCCAGGAATAACCCAGAAATCTGTATTACTCACCTGCCACATCTGTTCTATTGCAGTGATGTCAGCTGAGATGTAAACTCTTATTTATTGTGTAATTCCACATTCTAACTTCATATCCATGTCTTTTAAAAAAATTATTCCAAGATTAGCAAGGGTTAAAGGTTAGAGTTTTTTTTGACAATGCATAAACTCCTTTAGTGCAAAATTATCCTGGACCTTAGACCATGTTTACTTATTATTAGCACCCATCTTGGGTGATATGATTGTAAATTGACAAATGTAAATTTCCATTATCTTGTAAATAAATTGAAATCATTGTTGGATGTGCCAGGGAATGAGGCAAAGCTTTATTCCAGAATATGCAATTCCAATCTGCTTGACGAACAACATGGTAAAAATAACGTCAGTAAGTTTGGTGAAGGATATTCTGTCTGTTTGCTGCCTGTGTTACTGGCTCAGGCTCTGTATGTTTTCCCACTCATCTTCTGTGTTTTTGTAGCTACCATCCCACACGCTTGACAGAAAAGCAGCATGAATACAATCCAACAAATTGAAAATATAACACCAAAAAAGGCATTGTCTTTCTCTCCTCCCTGTCTTTTCTCCTTAAGACCTTCCCACCACAATGCACAAATTTGCTAAAACTCTTAAGTGTATATCTGACCCCTTTTTAAACTCTCTTAAAGATGTATAAAAATGTTTTTCGCCAGACGCAGGTGTACTATGACTCATCTCTCCGTCCAGAGACTGACAGATGTGTCACATATTCCATAGGCATCAATAGAAAAGTTTGGAATTTGGATACTTACTGTCAGTGATGGAGCTTTGAGGTCAGCTGGTTTAACAGTGAAGGTCTCGTTTCTTCCTCGGAGTGCATGTATGTGTGTTAGTGTGTGTGAATGTGTGTGACACAAGCCACAGCTGTGATTGAATGCGTCGGAATCGACCAATGGCAGCACAGTTACTCCACTGACAGACATGACAAGCTCCAGCTCTCACATACACAGACACATATACCTAAGGAGAATATACCTAAAAATATATTTGCACAAAATCCTCACTGCTCTGAAAAAAAGCTCACACCAGACGTCTGTTATCAGACAGTTTGCTGTAAGTCACCAGTACACAGAATCAAATACAGAAGCTCAGTGTATTAAAGGATCAGCTTTAATCTGATTTATTTTATTTATTTTTTTCCACATCGCTCTACAATCAGTTTTGCAAAACTAGAGAGACCAAAAACAACATTATAGGGTGTTATTCGTCAAAAAAGTCCAATATTTCTGTTGTTGTAAAAGGGAAAGTTCACCCAAAAAGTGTAGATTCCATCATCATTTACTCACCATTATGTTGTTACCAAACCCCTTTTTTTCTTCTTCTGTGAAACACAAAAGTAGATATTTAGCAGATTGTACAAGCTGCTCTTTTCCATATAATGAGAATGAATGGTTACAACAACTATCCCTGGTCCCAATCTACTTTCACTGAATGACAAAGAAGAGTTTAAAAATATCTAATTTAAAAATATCAGAAATGTCAAATATTTAATGTTGAAAATGTAATTAAACAAATAAAAATAAATAAAATCGAATACAAATTAAGAATATAAGCTAAAAAATTATAATTTTGTGTTTCACAGAAGAGAGAAAATCATACGAGTTTAACAAATGAGGCTGAAAAAGTGATCAATTTCATTTTGGGTGAAATATCTCTTTAATTTGTTAGTTGTTTTAATAAAGGCACTACTTACTATTTTATCTAATAATAATGTTTTCGAATAAGGACTCACAAAGATGACCTTGACATGGACATCTGAAAAAATAAAAATAAAAAAAAGAATATAAAAACAAAAGACTCAAAAGATTCATTCATTAGCACAGGTAATAGAGGTGTCTCAAACAGCTGTCAGCCACATATACAGACACACGTCATGAGGTTTGATTGTCATTCTGGGTTTTCCTCTTACAAGGAGAACACATCTGAAAGGATGCCTCATACAGTATTTTGACATTTGACAGCAATACTTTCCTTTTTGAAGGTTCAGTCTTATAGCTCTCATGTATAGCTTTCATAATATTGGCTGTCGCTCAATTCAAAAGCTCCTGATGTCACATTTGTCAGCTGAATACGTCATTTAGGCCATCTCATTTAGGAAAAGTAACCATTACATTGCAGAGTATGAAAGAAATTATAGTAATTTATGCCTCAAAAGGAATAACAGTCAATTTTATAATGGTTAATTTTCTTAAATGAGACATCTTGAATGATGTATGTGGCAGACAGATGCAACTTCTATAAGACGCAGCCTTCAAAATGACAGCTATTGAGTTTATTGGCATGTCCTTTCAAACATTAGATGGTGTCATAGCTTACAACAGATATGTGTGTAGTATTTCTGTCAAGCATCATTGTCATTAAAATTGAATTTAAATTATGTGTGGGAATAAATAAAATTTTCAGCAGCATAAAACAATTAGAGTTCAAATCCAGCACTTATTTTTGTGAAATAATTTCTTGAAAAGTGTTAATAGCACATCCTCATTTTAATTTCAAAAGACTCTGCCAAAATGTTGATTCACGTTCCTCGTTTCGCTGGCCGCTTTGGACAATTCGTGCAAGAGTCTCAGAGTTCCCAGAGTGTGAGTGCCACACTGTGAGTGTGTGTTATGCGGTTTGGCCCAGTTTCTCCATCTGTATCTGTAATGCTGTAGGGAGCATGAGAGAAAATACATTGATTTAGCTGCTCAATTCTATCCTCCCAACCACACAGAAGATTATGGACAACATGGACATGCGGATGCACACCAGATCCAGCACCAGTAGCTTTTCACTGATAGCCCTCAGAAGCATTACACTTCCTCAACGATTAATCTTTTTGTGCGGTTTAAATAGAAGGATCATTTTAATAAACTCTAGCTATAAAGACATTTGTCCTTAGAAACAAGCTATCCCCATTTATATAATCCCCAAGATTGATTATATAAGAGTGTTTCAACACATGACCCAGCCTTCTTAAAAGCCTCTTAAGGTTGGAAGACATGCGCAGCAAATTATCTGCCCACCACTGGAGTCTGTGTGCGTGTGTGAGCTTCTGAAAAAGATTGACAGGGCTTGATTGTGTAATCTACAATGAAGAGATGACACAGAGGGGGTCATGTGTGGGAGTGTGTCCCCCATTCTTTAGATAAAGCATACTGTTAAATGACATAATTCATATCAAGTCTATAGGAGCAAAATATTGTCATAATGGCTTTTAGTTAGTGTGGTGTCAAAAGTTGTGAGCCACTTATCTTTTCATGCAACGTTTGTATGGGTGGTGACGTTGTAATAAGTCTGTTTTTCAGCATTAAAGGAATAGATCACTCAAAAAATGTATATTCTGTCATTTACTCATGACTTTCAAAATCTGTGTGCTGTATACATTTCCTGTGGAACACAAAAGAACTTTTCAAAAAACCATAATGCAGCTCTTACAATATAACAATAATTAATAGTGACAACAAATTCACACTTACCTTGGCAACTGAAAAAACATAAGATGAATACGTTGAAGTGCTATGCTAAAATGACTAAAAGTTAAATCAATTAAAGCTAAATATAAAAAAGACAGAAGCACATTTAATGACTAAAAAGTAATTTCAATGGGAAAAAAGACATGTATATAAATAAAAAAATAACACCTATTAATACATATTTTTGGGTGAACTATCCCTTTAAAAAAGAAGAAAATTTTCATTCATTCAGTCAGTTTTATTACAAAGGTTCATCTGTCATGCTTTTCCCAAAACACTCATATACACAAAGTCAAAGCAAAAGAAAGAGGATGCTTGACAAAAAGAAGCACAATCCATGACAGCAAGCACGGCTGTACATGTCATAGCAAATTGCATGCCGTCATGCTAATTATTGCAAGTGGCAAAAGCACAGTTAACATATGCAAAAGTAGTAGCATAGAAAGTTTGGCAGGTGAATAATGAGAGTGGTTGCATATTGCATGTATTCTTTTGAAAGAGATGTGAATTTCCATCCCTTCACCACTAGAGGGAGGTAAAGCTCTAAATCAGGGGTCTTCAACCTTTTTCAACGATCCCTTGGTGGATAATAGACACATTTTTATGTCAAATTTAAGAGATGCATTCTAAGAATGGCCATTAAATAACATGTATATAAGAATGCATTTACATACCTATGATGCTTACATTCATTCAATTGCATATTCATTCAAAATCAGTACTGAGCACATACCTGTATTAAGTGAAATAAAAATGTAGAATAATATACATCTTAATAAAAAGATAAAAAGTCTGTATTCAAAGAATTCTTTTTTTTAAATTTTATTTAGCAAGCACGCATTTACTTGATCAGAAATGACAGTCTTTGATCAACAGCAAGACCTTTTGTTTACAAAAGATTTCTATTTCAAATAAATGCTGTTCTTTTGAACTTTGTTCGCCAAATATTTCTGAATAAGATGTATCACTATTTCCATAAAATAATAAGCAGCACAACAATCTTCAAAACTGATAAGAAATGTGTCTTTAGCACCATATCGGCATATTAGAATGATTTCTGAATGATCATATGACTGGAGTAATGGCTGCTGAAAATTCAGCTTTGCCATCACAGAAATAAGTTACATCTTATAACATATTAAAACAGAAAATAGTTATTTAAAATTGTTATAATGTAATAATATTTTACAATATTACAGTTTTTACTGGGGTTTTGATCAAGTAAATGCAGCCTTGGTGAGCAAGAGATAAAAAAAAAAAAACTCTTAGCGACCCAAAACTTTTGAACAGTAGTGTATTTAGATGAACTTACCTTTTTTTTTAGTTAACTTAATACTGTTTTTTCCCCCCAACATTTCCACAAAAATTGAATTGAGATTAAATGATAATTGCAGTACCGCCATTTGAAGACCCCTGAAAAGACATTGTCAGAAAACATAAGCAAATGCCAACATGAAGCAAGCAGTTTGTTAAGAGACTGAAAAACTGAAAACCACAATGTAAGACAGCAGTGTCCAGCATGCAGAGCGAGAGAAGCCAGTCTGGTGAGAAGCTGCATCATAGAAGAGCTGATAGAGTGTTAGTGAAACTACATCAACACACAGCAGTGCTTGTGTCTCCTTTTGACCTTTTTGATCTTTGGAGTACCTGTAGCTGACGGGTCTTCCGTGCCGTCTCTTTTGCCCTTCCGTCCAGCAGAGTAGGGAAAGGCGTTGTTGGCATTGCAGTTCTGATGGGGGTTGAAGCTCTTGCTCGCTTCATCTTCACCATCTCCAATAATCACCAACTCTGCCCGAACTGAGCCCTCATAGCTCTGGCTGTCATCTCCGGCATTCTGGTAACCCATGAATATCATGGTGACTGGCTCGTCCGATGGCATGGCATTCAGTACACTGAGTTTGGAGTCCTCAGAGTAGGCTGAACACAGGCTGTGTTTTGAGATGTCACAATCCAAATGTCGCATTCCCCAGTGGTTCTCTCTTTGGTTGTAATACTGTTCATGTGCGTGTCTTTCCCCTCTGTGTAGCTCACGGCTGTTGTGATAGTATTCGTCTGGTCTGTCATTGTAATTAGGCATTGGCAGGAGAGGAAGTCCTTGACCCGCGTCCTCTGGACAGCACACGCCATCATTGTACACAAGCTCAGGCCATGCCGATAAGTCAACACTATAGGGATCTTGGTATCCATTGGATTCATTGCTCTCCCTGATTTCAGTGGCTGATTGTAACTCATGGGAGAGGTTGTAGGGATATGAAGCGTCTATCTGAACCTGATTGGACCTCTTCTTTTTCTCAGAGGCCTGCCTCAGCAGCTCTTCGACCTCCACGGGACTAAGTTCATCCACTCCATTCGCACCTGGCTGGTGGCCGTCTGTACGCAGGGCGTAGACGGACTTCCGGCCATCGTCGTAGACTTTGATGCCTTTCTGCTGGAGCTCTTGGGGAGAAATGGTGGCGGTGGAGAGAACTTGGCTTTCCCCTGTGCGCAAGTCCTTCTGAACGTTAATTTCCATGGCGAACAAAGCTGTAAGAGACAAATGGAATGTGTGCAATATATTGGAATTATTTAAAACGTTTAATTCTTTCTTGTATCCAAGTTCAATATGCAAAATTAACAGTAAATAAGACATTTGTGTGTCCATGTCCATAAAGTGTGGCTATAGTGCCATCACAACATTAAAACATTAGCTCAGCCAATGGGGCGAGTTTGGAGGCAGGACTATCTGTTTGACCAACTGATGGCAGTGGGACTGTAAAGCAAACCTGTTTGACAATTTTTGAAAAATTATTATTTTTTGATTGATAGTGGCACAGAAATGACACACTTCATCTTTGCACAATATTTAAACAGGGATTTCCAAACGTTTTTGTCATCCAAACTCCTTTGATCTAAAATATTTACTTAAAATACACTCAAATAATGTTTCAATTTAACACCATATTGCTTGTTCACAATTATATGCTTTTGGTTAATGGTCACAGGACAAGCGGGTAAACAAATAAAATGTCTGATTTTGGTTCAGTAAGATTCATTAAAATTTTCTTTTTAAAATTATTCTAATTTTACATTTTTAGAATTTAATTCACTTTTTTAATTAGCTTCAAGTAAGCAACTCATGAAGCCCCTGGAGTTTACCAGGCATTTGTTAACCCAGTTTGGAAAACCCTATCTAAAACATTTAGTTTGCTGTTCTACATTCCAGAAACACTGTATATTGAAAACAGTTTGAAGTCTTCTTTCAGTTTACCAGGTTTGGTTTGATCAGTTTTTGCTTCAGTTTCCAGGTCTTGTTTCTTCCTCTGCTTTAACAGGGGTGTGCTGGGCTTTAGCATATTTGGAATTGTTGAATGAATATAGATCGGCTCTGCAAAAAGAGTGAAAATAATCATAAATATGGCAAAATTTAACACAAAAATATGCTGGCAATTTGTTTTATGGTCCGTACAGCATTGTGATGGAGTTTTACAGTATTTACCTGATATGAAATCTGCATTCGCTGCCTGTGGAGATACAAACAGAGTCATGTCCTAATATAAAGTCTATATAGTTCAAGCAAAAAGCACAGTTTCTGATCATTTTAATTTCTTAACCACATCAAAAGCAGTGTACCTTAATTATATCCTCTGGAGACTTTTCAATGGCTTTTAGCCTCTTTAGAATCAGCCCCTCATTTGTTGAGATGTTAATTTCCTCTCTCTCCAATGCTTCAATCTCTTTCTCTATCCTACAGAGAATTTTTTTACAATACTTGTTTAAATAAGACTCTAAATATGCAGTTCTCTAGAGTTCTCCTGGCACACACACACACACACACACACACACACACACACACACACACACACACACACACAGATTGACCTCTATTACTGGGTCAAGTCACACAAGAGTGCCATCCCTGACAAAGCACCTGTCACTCTTTACACTTTTTGTTGCATAGACATGCTAGACCCAAGAAGCAATGCGATGTTAACTGGTTATGAATGCAATATAAACAAATATTTAATAGCAGACATTTGAATTTGCTCTCTCATGGTCAGTCAGAATCATCATTAGTCTGAATCATTTAAGAATGAAACCAACAGCAATATTTGTGTTAGGGTGCGACCTGCATGTAGCAGACATTCAAGGACATGGTAGCAGCTTTTTTTAGCATCCTTTTTTTTTATAGCATCATTGTTACTACAATGCAATGCAGTTACAAAGCATTGCACACCTCTTGCCTCATACTTCACTCTAATAGATTTCATTACGGCACCACAGGGCAAATGACATTAGCTGAGAAACATCACACCAGCCCTGAAGTTCTCAGAGTTAAAAAGGCTTTTAAGAGATTGAACTCTTAATACAGTGTTCAGACTGAAAATTATTTGTATTCAGGAGATGTCAGTGCACATAGCAAAATGGTTTAGATCAGTTACTGGCTTAAATATGGTGTAAATAATGATACAGTAATTAACCCCTACAATAAATGTAACTTTATTCTTTCATCTTACCGATGTATGTTGCTCTTGAGGTGTTTAGTTTGTTGTGCATCTTCAAGAGCTTTTTGTGTTTCCTGTGCATTACTGCTGTTCATCCCATCCATGAGCCACAGATCTCTCATGGACCTTTTCTATGAAAGACATATAGAGATGCTTCAAATCCCAGACCATAACAATTCAGAAAAATGCTGATGAACCGGAAACTATCCTTCTAACATCAAGAAGGTACCTTGACATGTTGAAGCTTTAGTTTCTCTCTGTCAATTTCAAGCCGTTTGTGGGCAATTTCTTCTTGGATTTTTTTCTTATTCTGTGGACAAATGAACACGTTTAAATATGACACTGAACTAGCATACACTCTTAAAAATAAAGGTGCTTCACGATGCCATAGAAGAACCTTTTTGTCTAAATGGTTCCATAAAGAACCTTTAACATCTGAAGAACCTTTCTGTTTCACAAAAGGTTCTTTGTGGCGAAATAAGGTTCTTCAGATTACAAAAAGATAAGAAAGAGATGGTTCTTTAAAGAACCTTTGACTGAATGGTTCTTTGTGGAACCAAAAATGGTTCTTCTATGGCATCGCTTGAAGAACCTTTTGAAGCACCTTTATTTTTAAGAGTGTAGCTATGTAAGTGGTTGCAATACACTTTTTGTAACTGTTAACCAAAATGAATTTGTTTTAGTTAATTAAAACAAAGATTAATTTAATTAAAATATTAAAAATATGAATATCAAAATATTCATAAATATTATAATAGTGTATAAATAATACTAAAATAACACAGTCCAGTAATCATTCTAGAAAAATATTTAAGGACAGAATGCAGTGTTTAACCAATCAGAATTAAGTATTCCAGAGCCTTGAAATAAGTATAGACAATCCCATATGGTTACCGTAATAGCCTGAAGGCGTTGCTTTAAGAGTTCTGCTTCTTCCATCCTGCCTCTGGAGAATAAAAAAAGAAACATTTATCCTTATATGACACTCACCATACTAGTGAGGCTGTATTTTGACATCTGTCTAATGTCTCAAAGGGTTGCTGGGCGACATGTAGGTCAAACGCCATACAGTGACACTGATATTTGGCTACATGAGTTAATGTCCAATCATCACCACTTGCTTCCTGCTTTCTAAAGATCAATGTGGTTCCGTGAATAGCAGCAGTGGTAAAACAGTCTCTGTGATGCACCATAAATAATCTGCCTGACAGGGTTTGGTTCCCCGTTTCTGAGTGGGTGACCCCTTGTAGACACTGCCAGGTTTCATAGACATCCAAGTAAGGCTTTAGGCTAGAACTTGCCCCTTGAAGTAGCATCTTGCTTCATTCACCCGATTTCCAGTTAAATATCTCTTACAATAGGCCAGATATGCCCTCATGTGATTGTCACATCAGTTGTAATGCAGGAATATGAAACAACATTGTAAAACTTACAAGCAAAGCAATGGATGGACCAGTGTTTCCAACAGAATTATTTTTTCCAGCTGACTCCAGTGAGTCTTTCTGACCTCATAAAGCTACAATGGTTGTGCTGTGTGTTGATTTGTGCATGCAGCCACAAAGACAACAAAATTGAATGACATGCTGTCTTTGTTTTATTTTGCAGTACTAATATCTAGGGTAAAATATGGTAGATTTAGCAGTGGAAAAGTACAGGAAACGCTGCAATGCACCATCAGTTACTATATAGAATACATTTAAATTCACCTCATGTACTTCTGATACACTTTCAGTCATATCTTTGCTAAATATACTTTAGTCTTTGACCAACACAAGTACTTGTCTAGAAAACTTACACTGTCATGTTATAGTCACAGCAGGGCCTGTGTCTGTGGGTGCCCAGGCTGCTTTTTCTTTTCCCAGGAAATGTGAGACCGACTCCAGACTTCCTGTCGCTGTCCATGTTTCATACATAGACAGTATCTATTGCTGACTCAACACAACCCTACTCATCTGCTGTAGATATAAGGCTGTTCACTGCCCTGGACTCAACCCACACAGTTCAGCGTTACAATGTTAATTTCATTAACATATTAAAAACAACTGCTATTACAGATCACAAGAGAAAACACATTATCAATATGCAATCAATTTTAACGCAAAAATACATGTATATACACTATCATTCAAATGTTTTTGAAAGAAGGTTCTTATGCTCGCCAAGGCTGCATTTATTTGATCAAAAATACAGTCAAAACAATAATATTGTTAAATAATACAATTTACAATAACTCTTGTCTATACCTAATTAAATAAATGAAAATGTAATTTATTCTTGTGATAAAAAAAGCTAAATTTTCAGCTCCAGTCTTCAGTGTCACATGATCCTTCAGAAATCATTCTAATAAACTCATTTGGTGCTCAATAAAACAATTCTTATTACTATCAATGTTGAAAACCATTGTGCTGCTTAATATTTTTGTGGAAAGCTTAAAACATTTTTTCAGAATTCTTTGAATAGACAGTTCAAAAGAACAGCATTTATTTGAAATGTATATTTGCTTAGGATTATGTAAAGAAATATAAAATGACTGTCCAAAAATGTTTTCAGGAGAGACATCATTTAATTTTATCCAATTGATCATTTCAATTAATATCAAAGCATCATCTATACAGATCTATGGATGAGTTTGGTAACCCCTTGTGCTCCAGAATTCCACTAGACTCAGGCACAATCTAAAAATAACAAGGCCACCCAGGGGTACATTGCCTAATAAATCCAACACGGTGGCACACCAAACCATTGGGTCTCTGTTCTCCATGACATAAAAATTGTTTTGAATTGAAAGGACATAAGAGCCAGAGTAAAAAAAAAAAAAAAAAACACGCCAAAACAATAGTGAAAGGATTAAATGAGGAATAAATTAGATTGCACTGCATTTTACTGTGTAATTAGAGTGAAAAAGGCACAAAATTAATTCTTACAACAAACAGATTAAGTTAGATCTGACAGTTTTATTGCATAGGAACAGCACAGATTTTTAGCACAGATCCAAAGCAAACTTCGCTGATTGGCAGATATCATCTTATGGATATGATATAGCCTATTATACAAGTGTGTACACACTGTATTCTTTGCAGGCGTCTCCTGCACATGGTCAGTTTCCCTGTCAGTTTTATCCTAGAGGAAGTTTCTCTCTAATCTCCTCTAATCTGATCACCAGTCAGTTAAGATATAAATCTCATCATGTGGCATCTGCTCCCATAACAATATCCTGACTGGACAAACATCCAGGAATTGTACACTTATTATAGCTGAATGCAGATATCGGACATCTTAAACTTTAATTAAGTGTTTAAAGTTGTATCCAAAAGTCATAAATATATAGATAACTATTTGTTAAGTATTTGTGAGCATGCAGGTGTGTTCATGTGTGTAAAAATATAGAAAATTGGGCCTGAGTTGCAATTAAATTAGTTTTAAAATGTCACTGAATATTTCAATGACCAACTCTTTTTAATGACTTGTTAAAATAATAGGTGAAATCCACAGGACCCGTGAAAGTGACATTTGAAGATGAGCCGAGACCATCGATTCACGTGCAAATGAACTCTACAAAACTTTTTAAACAAATCTTCTGCAGGTTATGAGATCGGTTAATTGACCTTCACACTATGTTATCTTTGTATCCTCGCTAAGAAAAGTAAAACGGCAGAAAACACACTTACCGGGCCGCTGAAGACGAACGGATATCCAGAAGGGGGTTCTGAGTTCACACGCAGTCGTCAAGCGGCGCTCATTTAATGGCTCAGGCCCTCGCAGGTGCTGTAGGAATGATTGACAGTCCTCCCTTGAGCCAATGAAATGCCAGTGAGCCTGTTCAGTTGTTCAGTCTCTATAGTCTCATCAGTGAATGTTTGAAGTGAATGACGGCAGCCCACACCCGTGTACAGCCCACGCCTCTGTGTTTGTTATCTGTGGAGGTTAACAAACTTTAGGAAATAGCATTTCCTTGGAAGAAATTTTCTTAACACACCATAATAAAATGCTGAAAAAGTATCTTCAATTAATTTACCTTGTAACTGTCTAACACAAAGGTTATTTAGCAAATACAGACATTAAAATGTTTTAATAATTTAATAATAATAATAATAATAATAATAATAAAACATAGGAACTACATTTTTGTCAAAATTGAGTTTTGACTAAAATCAAAATCTGTGATATGTCTAGTTTTGGCTCAAAATGTCTTAGAATAAAAAAATGAGTCTAAACATTGATATCAAATCAATCAATAGGCCTATTAAAAAAAAAAAATTGGCCATTTTTCTCAGTTTCAGTTTTGGTGTAGTTATTGCATTTCACCTTTGGAATATATACAGTAGGATGGTTTCACTGGCTAGCTGTTTTTAAAATCTAATTTAGTTTAATTTGAAAACGTTTTACTGGACTTTAGGTTGTACAGCAGTGTCTCTTCACTCAAAACACCATTAGGCTATACACTTCAGAGCTGCTTTCTGAGCAGAAAAACAGTGTCACATATCATGTTGACATGGGGCGACTCACAAGCTGCAGTCAAGTGTCAGACATTCCTACATGCATACTTCTGTTTATTCACACTAGCCGTAGAAAATGAGACCCGCAGCCAGTGGTGGAAACTACTTCGTTACTGTAAGTACATTTTTCAAGTATCTGTAAGTTGTGTGTTAACTAAATCTGCTTTAAAGGGTGATCTGTTTAAGCCCACTGAAATGCTTGAATGCAGACACATTAACATCAGAGTCTCTATGTTTTTTTTTGGTAAAAAAAACCATTAAAATAACACAGATTAAATAAATTAACTCATGCATGTTTATTTTATCATACGGATCTGTACTTTTACTCAAGTACTTGATTTGTGTACTTCGTCCACCACTGCCCCGCAGCAGGACGGGACATTCCTTCTGCTGCGTCTAATGAAGAGAATGAAGAATGTTGAGATCTTTCATGAACTTCACCAGCTCATATCATTTACAGTGGGGGCTGTGTTTACTCAGTGCAACTTATAACATCCAAGTGAAAGATATAACACCAACAAGTCAGAAAAAAAATAACAGAATCACTGAGTTGGAAAAAGTTGTGGACAGGCACAAGTCAGGAGATGGATACAAAAAAAAAATTCAAATGCTTTATCAATGCTTAGAAGCACAGTGAAGTCTGTTGTTAAGAAGTGAAAGGTATTTAATACAACACAGACCCTCCCTGGATCAGGACGTCGCTCCAAACTGGATGAAAGAGCCAGGAGGAAACTGGTCAGAGAG